GCACAGGTTTGCATCATTTGATGCTTTGTAACACTTCTTGGTTTGAATGCCAGTAGACTTCAATGGGATGGCTGGTTCAGAAACTCTGAATTGCATAGATTTGTAGATTTTAAGTTCATCTGAACCACAAATGGATTTTTAAAAAAGGCTGTTTATCTTTGCTAACTAACATGCAATAGCAGCCACCATCTTTATCATGGATAGAATTCCTTTTAGCCTTTATCTGCTGTAAGGCCTGGCTTACACCTGTGCGGGTTTGTGGCCCGTGTTTGCGCGGGCACGCAACCTATTAATTTGAATTGGCTGCTGTGCCTGTTTTTTTCCGCAGAAAAAAGGTGCATGCAAATGCAGCCGCAGGGAAATCACATGATGCTTTTGCATTGCATAAAATAAATAAAAATATTTTTAAAAAAATGTAAAGTATTACCATTAGCCCTGCACACACCCCTTATAGAAAAAGCTCAGAAAAGGGTGAGAACATGTATGTAAACATCAGTAGCAAAACACACGTGTGGCATTGTTATAAATATCAGAATGAGAACTATAATTCTAGGGCCATAGTTCACAGTCAACTCTAAACTGGTGACTTGTAAAAATGTTTAAAGCGTCCTCTATGGAGAATTTGAGGGTACCATAGTTTTTTGCTATTCCATGGGTGAGTTCAATTTTAAGACTTGACATGCCTGGGATCTATTATATTTATCTATTATATCTTTTATATTTTGCTATAAAGCGAGGTATAATATTTTGTTTATTTGCACTAAAATTCATGTTACTGTATTCTTTCCTGAAAATATGTGTTTGATAAATAACTGTGCAGATATTATGCAACGACTTCTGTTTTTATTCCCCATGTAACTACTACCATTTTATTCTCCAGGGTCTCTACTTTCAGAAAATATATACTTTTGCAAAACATGCTGATGTTAACGTGTGTGCAAAAAATTAAAACCTTTCCCCGGTAAACAAGTGGTTAAGCTTTAAAAACAGCTAGAAGTCAGCTAGAAACTGACTGGTTGCCATGTCAGCTGCTCCAGATTCTCTCTTCTCCAGTCTTAGCAAATTCCTCTCTATGTATCCTAAACAATTACCTGTTTATTTTTATTAGCGCACTATTCTCATCCTCCAATTCAACCATGCTTAACCAGGATTCCTTGAACTGTGGCTGATTGACTTCGCAACTCATGCTGCCTGCATAAATCTGGGTCTAACTCCACTTGGCAGAGCCAGCCGCATGACACCAATGATCTTTTTAGCTGTCCGTAAGGGTGGCATTCTGACTACCACCGTAAACAGGTAATTACTACAACTGATTGCCAATGTAAGTTGCATTTTCCTGCTGACCCCCGACGAATTAACTTAATCAGTGGTTCCCTGAGACCTGAAAATTAAGTCATAGATTCCTATAGGGCAGGGTTTCTGAACCAGGTTCTGTGGGACCCTGGGGTTACGGGAGAGGTTCCCAAGGATTCAGCCGCAATTTACCCATCAATCACAGGCAGCTGATGGGTAGATCGCATCCCCCCCACTGCCATGCTTTTCTATCAGTTAGAACACATGCACAGTGGCACAGGAAGCAACGATTGTCTCCTCTGTTCCCAGCTGGCCCCTACTCCCCACCGCCCATCCCATGTGTTTGTATGTGACATCACATGGAAGAGATAATAGAGCAATGCCAGGACTATTACTATTGCTTTCCTGGGTCACTCTGCATAAGAAGGAAACTGCTACTGTAATGTGTCCTGCTGCCATGTAATGTGCTCTGCTCTCATATATAATGTGCCCTGCTCCCATGTAATGTGCTCTGTTCCCATGTAATGTGCTCTGTTCCCATGTAATGTGCCCTGCTCCCAAGTAATGTGCCCTGCTCCCAAGTAATGTGCCCTGCTCCCAAGTAATGTGCTCTGTTCCCATGTAATGTGCCCTGCTCCCATGTAATATGCGCTGCTCATAGACTGTCACCTACCCTCCTCACCTTCAGGCGCACCCTGAAAACCCATTTTTCAGGGAAGCCTACCCCACCCTCACCTAACAACCGATCTCCTCCACTTCTCCCACCACTCCATCCCCCATAGCCACTTCCTCCTGTACCACTTCCCCTCCCTCCTAGATTGTGAGCTCGAAAGAGCAGGGCCCTCGAACCCCTTGTGTATTGTACTGTTACTGTTTTGTCGCATGTTCTGTCCCCCTTGCTATTGTACAGCGCTGAGCAAACCCTTTGGAGCTATATAAATACTGTATAATAATAATAATGTAATGTGCCTTGGTCCCATGTGATGTGACCTGCTGCCTCCATGCAATGTGCCCTTCTCCCATGTAATGTGCCCCCCCATGTAATATTCCCTGCTCCTTCCCATGTAATTTTCCCTGCCCCCCCCCCCATGTAATGTGTCCTGTTCCCTTTTTATGTAATGTGCTCTGCTCTCTACTATGTAATGTGCCCTGCTCCAACCATGTAATGTGCCCTGATGCCCTCCATGTAATGTGCCCTGATGCCCCCATGTAATGCGTCCTGCCCCCCCTGCTCTCCCCATGTAATGTGTCCTGGTGCCTCCTTATGTAATATTACCTGCTGCCCTCAATGTAAAGTGCCTGCTGCCCCCCCCCCCCCCCCCCCCCCCAACCATGTAATGTGCCCTACTTCCCCCTTGTAATGTGATCTGCTGCCACCCATGTAATGTTCCCTCCTGCTCCCATGTACTCTGCTCTACTGACCCGCTGTACTCTTCCCTGCTCATCCCCTTTACTCTATGCTTTTGACCCCTATACTTTTCTGTGCTGATCTCCTCTGCTCTGTCCCGTTAAACCCTTGTGCTCTGCCCTGCTAATCTCCTGTGTTCTGACCTGCTGGCCCCCTGTACTTTACCTGCTATCCCCCTGGATACTGCTTAACTCAAGTTCAACCCAGAATCTTTGCAGAAAAAAGCAAGCACAAGTTTCATACGAAATAGGTATGTGTTAGTATATATTATATTATTTAATGCTGTTTAGAAAAATAATTGTTGTTATATCAGCAGGTGGCTGAATCCAGCAATGTTCCGTGAGCTGTAGATGTGAACATTTTTTTAGAGCTTCCCTGAGATCCCAAACTTTTGCCAAGGGTTCCTCCAAGGTTAAAAGCTTGAGAAACCCTGCTCAAGGGTAAAACAATGTTGAGAAAGGTTGCTGTAGAATTAACAATATAAATTAGAAACCTGGATGTTTAAGCATGCAGCTAATATAATCAGAGGAAAGTCAGAACTTCTGATCTGCATACTTTTTTTGCAGGCAAGTGACTCAAAAAGTATTACAGCCATTGATCAGCACTGAAGCTATGCTAGTAGCATTTTCAAATATGGTTCAGTAGCAGCAGCCCAGCAGGTTACATGGAACTTGCCTTAATGTAGAATACACAGTATTAGTCTATATAATTTAACCAAAATCCAAATGTATCTTGTCATGTCATTATATACAGGGGATCGCCAGGTGGGCTAAATTTGCCAGAGAACACTGGGTTCAGAGTCACTGGGTTCAGGAATTTGTTTAGGACTTCTGAATAGTGGCTGTTGCTTCCCTCCAGTCAGGTGTCTGATTTTGCACTTACCGTCTTTCCCAGTGTTCTCCACCTAGAGACAGTCTTCCATCGAATAGATAATTTGGCTGGGAAACTGGCTTACAAATACTGGCCTTGTCAACTCAGCCCTTAGCTGCTGCACCTCACCAATGGAACTCCCTCTGCCACCCACCTGAATGCTGAGACCTTGGAACTAAAGAGAACTGTCTAAGGGGTGCTGTCTGCTGAAGATCTGGTCTGGTATCACTGGAGTATGGTGTTGCTTGGAAGTTGGAAGGATGCAGCCAGCTGTCGCTGGGCCTTGTATGAGTACAGATCCTTCTAAGAGATTGTGAGGACCTTTGTACTTTTGGCACCCCTCTGGTGCTAGAGAGTCAGCTGTGGGTTTTTGTTAAAGAGGACACAGGCTGGTGTACTGAGGAGGTTTGTTCATCTAATTTTCTACTTACCTACTTGCCAACTGCACTATAGCCGAATGACGGCTACAGCTCTTAGTGTCAGGAATCTAGGAATGACCAGAAAGGTGTGGACTGACACAGGGAAACGCAGGTTTCAGGTATAGTATAATAATACAGTTTATTATTAGCCAGCCAGATATATATATATATATATATATATATATATATATATAAACGCACAGTGAACAAACCAACCTTCCACTAATCTTATTAGGTGCAGGAACACAGGCGTAGTCAGGGCTGGAGAGGTGGAACGGTCAGGCCGGCCGTAGTAGTGTTCTGTAATGACCGTTTGGTGGTACCTCTAGTGGTCCCCAGGACAGGATTCCCCAGGGCGCGGAGTCTAAGTCCCAGTCTGCTTATTCACCAGGGCCCCTGATGGTGGGGATGGACTTGGAGCAGACAGGAACCAGGTCGCGGCCCCTGAGTACACCTGCTAGTGGTAGAGGGATCCGCCAGAGGTATGTGCAGGTACGGCTGGATCCGTGCATGATGGATCGATGGCAGAGTAGTTAGCGTGGTCAGACGGGCCAAGTCAGCAATGTGCGGGCAGCAAGGTACCAAAGGAGCAGGCAGAGAATGGTCAAGGACACAAGCCGGGTTCAGTAACTCACGGGCAGCGCGGTACAGGGGATCAGGCAGAAGGATGGTCAGGCAAGCCAGGGGTTCAACAGGAGACGGTCAGCAGAGGTCAGGATCAAGCCGGGTCAGCAACGAAGCAGGAGCACAAGATACCAGGTACAGAGGCTCATGGGAAAACATACACCAAGGCCCAGATCACAGGCCTGGTCATGCCTTAAATACACCTTTCTGCAATCAGCCCCAGGTTTGGCTGATTGCACGTGTGAGCTTCTGGCTGCTGAGAGCACCCGCTGGTCAGCTCTGGTACTGCAGCCCACACGGCAGGTGAGTCCCACCACCAGTGCTTAGTCCATTCCTGACAGTACCCCCCCTCAAGGAGCGGCCTCAGGACGCTCCAGACAGTCCTTAGTGGGCAAAATGTTCCACTGCCTGGGTCAGGTAACTGGCTGAATATCCAACTGCCGGAGTAAACCGGCTGGCTGGGTTTCCTGCTGGTAGACTTTTCTTTGTGTAGGAGAACCCAGGAAGGCAGGTCACTGGGCACAGGATTTCCAGGAGCAGGCTGGGAATCGTTATTGGCCAGTTTAGCTGGACATCAGGGGCTGGCATGTCGGGCTGTGCAGCGGGCAGAGGCACGTCAGCGGGCACCGAGTCATCTGGCACGACAGCGGGCACCGAGTCACCGGGCACGTCAGCAGCGGGCACCAAGCCATCTAGCAGAACCGCGGGCACAGAGTCACCTGGCAAGTCAGCGGGCACCGAGCCACCGGGCATATCAGCAGGCACCGAGCCATCTAGCAGAACCGCGGGCACAGAGTCACCTGGCAAGTCAGCAGGCACCGAGTCACCGGGCATGTCAGCGGGCACCGAGCCATCTAGCAGAACCACAGGCACAGAGTCACCTGGTAAGCCAGCGGGCACCGAGTCCCCGGGCATGTCAGCGGGCACCGAGCCATCTAGCAGAACCGCGGGTACCGGGTCACCAAGCTCGACAGCAGGCACCAAATTAACTGGCACAACAGTGGGCACTGAATCAACTGGCACGACAGTGGGCACCAAGTCATCAGGCATCAGGTCATGTGGCTCAACAGCGGGCACTGGGTCCTCAGGCATCAGGTCATCTGGCTCGACAGCGGGCACCGAGTCAACTGGCACGACAGCGGGCACCCAGTCATCAGGCATCAAGTCATCCGGCTCAACAGCGGGCACCGAGTCAACTTGCACTGAGTCAACTGGTACGACAGCGGGCACCAAGTCAACTGGCACGACAGCGGGCACCGAATCATCAGGCATCAAGTCATCTGGCTCAACAGCGGGCACCGAGTCAACTGGCACCGAGTCGACTGGTACGACAGCGGGCACCAAGTCAACTGGCACCGAGTCAACTGGTAAAACAGCGGGCACCAAGTCAACAGGCACGACAGCGGGCACAGAATCATCAGGCATCAAGTCATCTGGCTCGACAGCGGGCACCGAGTCAACTGGCACCAAGTCGACTGGCACGACAGCGGGCACCGAGTCAACTGGCACCGAGTCGACTGGCACGATGGTACAGCGAGTGGGAGCAGGGTACTGACATGTGGTAGATAGCAGGGTATACTGAGCTGTCACTGGGGGAGCTGTCGGGAATGCAGGAAAAGAGCTTTGAGCAGAGGAATGATGAGAAACAGGACTGGTTCGTTGCAAGCTGATTGAGGCTGGGTGTAACAAGTCTGACCATGTCTGCAGTAAGGGTTGGACAACGCTCAGCTTACACAAGGCCTGTCTGGTCAAAGATTGCACTGCGTTTATATACAATTCTTTAGCACATGTGGTGAACATGCTGAATAATGCTCCAAGAAGCAATCCGGATCATCCTCCAACAACCATACCAGTGATATTATTTGACTCACCCTGAATGGAGGAAGGAATTCATCCCCGCTTTCAGGGGTACTAGATGAAGCCAACTCAACACAAGCCTGAATCAATGGTTGCACCTCAGAGAGCTCTAGGTCCTGACCTACTAGGGAATGAGCGACCCGTATGCACTCTAGCAGCTGATCCCTGGTATACTCCCACAGAGTCTGATAGGCATATTCTCTGTCATCAAAGACTAGCATAGACAAATATATAACCTCATCAGGATGCATCCTTCACAACAAGTCAAGATGGCTTCCCTGTGCAGCCACTTCTGGTCAGGAAGGGCCTTGGTGTGATGTCAGGAATCTAGGAATGACCAGAAAGGTGTGGACTGACACAGGGAAACGCAGGTTTCAGGTATAGTATAATAATACAGTTTATTATTAGCCATCCAGATATATATATATATAAACGCACAGTGAACAAACCAACCTTCCACTAATCTTAGTAGGTGCAGGAACACAGGCGTAGTCAGGGCTGGAGAGGTGGAACGGTCAGGCTGGCCGTAGGGTTCTGTAATGACCGTTTGGTGGTACCTCTAGTGGTCCCCAGGACAGGATTCCCCAGGGCGCGGAGTCTAAGTCCCAGTCTGCTTATTCACCAGGGCCCCTGATGGTGGGGATGGACTTGGAGCAGACAGGAACCAGGTCGCGGCCCCTGAGTACACCTGCTAGTGGTAGAGGGATCCGCCAGAGGTATGTGCAGGTACGGCTGGATCCGTGCAGGATGGATGGCAGATAGTAGTTAGCGTGGTCAGACGGGCCAAGTCAGCAACGTGCGGGCAGCAAGGTACCAAAGGAGCAGGCAGAGAATGGTCAAGGACACAAGCCGGGTTCAGTAACTCACGGGCAGCGCGGTACAGGGGATCAGGCAGAAGGATGGTCAGGCAAGCCAGGGGTTCAACAGGAGACGGTCAGCAGAGGTCAGGATCAAGCCGGGTCAGCAACGAAGCAGGAACACAAGATACCAGGTACAGAGGCTCATGAGAAAACATACACCAAGGCCCAGATCACAGGCCTGGTCATGCCTTAAATACACCTTTCTGCAATCAGCCCCAGGTTTGGCTGATTGCACGTGTGAGCTTCTGGCTGCTGAGAGCACCCGCTGGTCAGCTCTGGTACTGCAGCCCACACGGCAGGTGAGTCCCACCACCAGTGCTGAGTCCATTCCTGACAGTACCCCCCCCTCAAGGAGTGGCCTCAGGACGCTCCAGACAGTCCTTAGTGGGCAAAATGTTCCACCGCCCGGGTCAGGTAACTGGCTGAATATCCAACTGCCGGAGTAAACCGGCTGGCTGGGTTTCCTGCTGGTAGACTTCTCTTTGTGTAGGAGAACCCAGGAAGGCAGGTCACTGGGCACAGGATTTCCAGGAGCAGGCTGGGAATCAGTTATTGGCCAGTTTAGCTGGACATCAGGGGCTGGCATGTCGGGCTGTGCAGCGGGCAGAGGCACGTCAGCGGGCACCGAGTCATCTGGCACGACAGCGGGCACCGAGTCACCGGGCACATCAGCGGGCACCAAGCCATCTAGCAGAACCGCGGGCACAGAGTCACCTGGCAATTCAGCGGGCACCGAGTCACCGGGCATGTCAGCAGGCACCGAGCCATCTAGCAGAACCGCGGGCACAGAGTCACCTGGCAAGTCAGCGGGCACCGAGTCACTGGGCATGTCAGCGGGCACCGAGCCATCTAGCAGAACCGCAGGCACAGAGTCACCTGGTAAGCCAGCGGGCACCGAGTCCCCGGGCATGTCAGCAGGCACCGAGCCATCTAGCAGAACCGCGGGTACCGGGTCACCAAGCTCGACAGCAGGCACCAAATTAACTGGCCGACGACGATCACCGCAGGATGGATCGGATATGTGGATTGAGCATAATGGATCGGAGTCCGATCCATTATGCTCAATCCGCAGATGCGATCCATTCTACGGGGATCGTCGGAGGAGGTGTCACCAAGTGTTACCGCACCGGGTGACACCAACCCTAGGGACGCCTCTGAATATATACAGTATATACTGTATATGTAGGCTGGCCATGTCCAGTGCCATTCTTCAAACACTGACATTGACTGAAGATTTGTGAAAATTTTAATGAGAATTTGACAAGCCAATAACTGCAACATCTGATGTTAGTGATACATATGCTCTGGGTAGTTAGCAATGTGAGGTATTGGTCAAAACTAATTTTCAGTTTATCACCTCAAAATTGTTTGAAAGGCATAAACAGACTGAGGAGTGTATTGCATGAATTCACTGACAGGAATTTTCATTAAGTTTTTGTTGAATGTTCTGAAAAGTCTTCCCATATACTGTATGACCAGCTTTTGTTGAAATTAGTTACTTTAGAAAATGAATATGTACAAATCCTTACCGGTGGCATATCCTAAAGTGGTTGTAAAGGCTAGACATTTTTTACCTGCATTAAAATGGAACTTCACTCTACTCAACATTAACTATTTTGAATCCTTATGCTGCTAGAATTAGCAGATAGATAGGAAAGTACGTTATATTTATTAGTTTTATACTGCTTTTTACATTTCTTTAGTTACTTCCTAGTTTTCATGCCTATGCAAATTATGTCATACATCCCAATAGTCCTCAGGAGGGGAGGAGGGGTTTTCTCGGCTAGACACACCCTCCTACCCATATGCCTGAGCTAAGGGCAGATGGCTTCCAGGAAGTAATTGCTACATGAATCACCTGCCCTTACTCAGGGTGACCACAGCCAGAAATGCTAGGGGGGTTTTTCCTAGGTGATTTCTCAGAAAAATAAAGCATGGAGACATGGAGAGGTGAGTTTGCTTTGGATATTAAAAATGTATTAAACAGAGCTTTTGGTTTGGGGTGTTCAGATGTAGTTCTGCTTTAACCCCTTGATGCCAACAGCACACAAATATGCGGCCTCATGGAACTGGGCTTTTTTCCGTGGGGCCGCATAATTGCGTACCTGTCTTTGTGCTGGGAGCGCGCCGCTCGGCGTGCTCCCAGCACAGAGACCGCAGTGTCACGAGAGCCCAGGGTCCCGTTCTAACGATCGGAACCCGGGACTCCTGATTCCGGGTCACGTGATCGCTGTGATAGCCTCTGATTGGCTACCATAGTGATCAGTCACTGTGCAGCCCGGCCCTCTTGTTGTTTCTCTCTCTATGAATGGAGAAGAGAGATACTCCTGGCATAGAGAGAAAAAAAAGTTTGTAAAAAAAAAAAAAAAAAAAAAAGAAGATAAATAAATAAATGTTAAAAAACAAAAGAAAAAATACCTAGATCAAAGTTTGATCTAGTTCAGTGCCAGGGTTAGTGTTTGGGTCAGGGTCAAAGGTCAGGGTCAAAGGTTAGGATTTAAAAAAAAATTGGTATCGGTGTTAGTGTTAATGTCAGTGTGTTTTAGGTAAAAAAAAAAAAAGACAAAAACAAAATGCACACTATTGTTTCTGGGCTGTACTACGGGTACAAACAACAAATAACATACACATATATGATATTGCTGTGATCGTAAAGAGCTGGAGAATATATCTTGGGTTGTTCTTTGGTGATAGGTTATGGTCGTAACAAGAAACACACAGCTAAATAAAAAAAAAAAAAGATTTTTTTTTTTACTATTTTGGGCCAGTTTTCCTTTGATAATAAAAAAAAATGAGGAGCTATCTGTAGCAATCGTACCCACAGAGATGGACGCGGCTCAACCATTTTGCTCCAAACCTCTATCTTGGCAAAGGATTGTCCATCTTGTACAATTATATCTTTCCTCATCCCCCTCCCTCGCTGTGGGGTGACATGTGGCCTGAGTAAATGACAGAGGTCACAGGCAGCCAAAGCACAGCAGGCAGCTCCGAGCTATAAAACCCCCAAGGGAACTGGGGCCTAGCTGTCTGTTGGCTGTGCAATCTGGGACATCGTAAAAGCGTAAACCAAGTCCTTCACTGAGTTCAAAGACATTCCAGAGAAGTAATAAACTAGACACCACATTCAAAATCCATTTTCCCCCTATGATTTCATATCTTGGAATATGAGAGACTTACATAAAAACCA